AAATTGGACTATTTGGGCTTAACCCATCATTTGCCCCCCAATGCCCCATGTCCAAGGAGACTTGGAGAAGGAGGCATTGATTACATTTTTTTTTTTTTTTTTTTTTTAAACTTCAAATCTTTCCCATTTTATTTTGAAGAAGGAGTGGTGGAGGTTGAAGAAAGGGAGACGGCTAGGAGCGCGCGCTGCGCAGCGCTCGCGCGCAGCTGGGCAGCGCAGGCTGCGCAGGCGCGCTGGTCAGCGCAGGCTGCGCAGGAGCGCTGGGCTGGGCAGCGCAGGCTGCGCAGGGGCGCTGGGCAGCGCAGGCTGCGCTGGGCTGGCGCAGCTGGGGGCCTGGGCGGCTGCCTAGGCTCTGCTCCTCGCATCCTGGACAGCTTCAGATCTGCTGCTTTGGAACGCTGGGCAGCAGCATTTTTTCATCAAGGGGCGCTGAAAATCAGTCCAAGGTTCGTCAGGGAGAGCTAGGCAGTGGCCTGGGAGCATGGGCTGATCCGATTCCCACTCGAGGTGCTGATTTGGGCGTCTTAGGTGCTGATTTTTTGCGCCGAAAATTCTGCTTTGCGCAATTTTGAAGGGCCAGACAGCCTTCAAGCTACTGGGCAACTTTGTTTTGACGAGCAACATCAGTCAGGCACACTTCTAGGCATTGGGCTAGACATTGCAAGTAGTAAGGAACCTTTGGGTGCTGCTCTTGATGATCAAGCCCTTCTCCAGGTGCTGGGCGCCTTGGGTGAGCCTGGGGCTGCCTCGGGAGAACCTACTTGTGATGACAAAAATAATGTTATTCCAAACATTAAAATATCTCACATAATTACCTGGAGAGAGAGAGAAGTAGGCTGCTTGCGCGAGAGCAAAGACAGAGTTGGAGAACTGCTCGTGAGAGAGCTACACTTTTTGAGACCTAGCTTTTGGCGACCCATGAGGGAGTCTTTAAGCTTGAGGTATAAGCTTCCTGTTTGAGAACAGTGCAGAGGCCAAGCTTTTTTGGTGACCCGTGAGAGAGCCGCTAAGCTGGAGATAGGCTGCCTGTTTGAGAACAGTGCAGAGGCCAAGTTTTAGTTTTTTTTTTTTTTTTTTTTGCGATCCGTGAGAGAACCGCTAAACTGGAGATAGGCTGCCTGTTTGAAAACAGTGCAGAGGCCAAGTTTTTTGGCGATCCGTGAGAGAACCGCTAAACTGGAGATAGGCTGCCTGTTTGAGAACAGTGCAGAGGCCAAGTTTTTTGGCGACCCGTGAGAGAGCCGCTAAACTGGAGATAGGCTGCCTGTTTGAGAACAGTACAGAGGCTAAGTTTTTTTTTTTTTTTTTTTTTTGGCGACCCTTGAGAGAGCCGTTAAGCTGGAGATAGGCTGCCTGTTTGAGAACAGTGCAGAGGCAGGTCAAGTTTCTGGTGATCTGTGAGATGATCCACCTTGCCTAAACTTGTTGATTTCCTCAGCATTCATATATCTTTGAGCTTTTGTGAATAGTTTCTGGCATGCTCTTCGGTGGGCGCTTCAGAACTGAGAAAAGGAAACTTGATGAACGGAGGCCACCCAAGAAGGCGGTCATCGTCACCTTGTCGTCGGGTTCATCAACTTGGAGTACCTCCTCGTTAAAACGAGTGAGGTAACTCCTCAGGCTCTCCTCGCGGTCCTGCTTTATACTAAGCAGGTGCGTAACTGGCTTCTGGTGGCGACGCCCTCCTATGAAGTGTGAGACGAATGATCTGCTAAGCTCGGCAAAAGAGGTAATAGAGGCGGGAGAGAGCTTAGCAAACCACTGTCGGGCAGACCCCTTTAATGTGGTTGGGAATGCCCTGCACATGATTTCGTCGGGTACGTTGTGCAATTGCATCAAGATTTTATAAGTGTCGAGGTGGTCCAGTGGATCCTTTGTTCCATCAAAGGTCTCCACGGATGGCATTTTGAACTTCTGAGGGAGGGGGTAGTTTGCTACATCAGGTTTGAAAGGGGTATCAGTACGCCTTACCAGGTGGTCAACAGTCTCGGGTCCTTGTGCCTTTATGGCGTTGAAGACATCACCGAGTTGATTCTGTACCTCCTTTATCTTCTCGTCCCAATGATTGGGGGCTCTTCTGGAATGATCATGGAAGTGGCTTCCATGCCCCATGCTTTGGTTTTCACCCTCATCCTCCTGGAGATAAGGGTCCTCTCCTTGGAAAGCAAGGGGAGGGGGAGGTGCAGCTCCCTCATGTTGGGCTTTCTGAAGTGGGGTGCCCAATGGGGCACCCGGGCGTGGAGCAACAGGGCGTGGTGCTTCTTGATGTCCAGGATGTGGAGCACCTTGGGGTGCTCTATGTTGTGCACCTCCGTGGGGCCCTCCATGTTGTGCACCTCCATGTGGTGCTCCACCTTGGGGTCCTCCATGTTGTGCACCTCCGTGTGGTGCTCCACCTTGGGGTCCTCCATGTTGTGCACCTCCGTGCGGTGCTCCTCCTTGTCCAGCAAGTATGAGTTGCAGTAACTGTTGGTTTTGAGCAACCAGTTGCTGCATGGTCTCCAATATTTGTTGGGGATTCGGGGCTAGAGTATCCGGAACAGGGTTGATAGGCGGGGGAGCAACCTCTTCCTCTCGTGGAGGATTATCTTCGTGTTGGTTCATGGATCGAGTAGTGATCGCCATTAGTTAATGGACGTAATGTTCAGGAGTGAGAATTTTGTCGGTTCCCACAGACGGCGCCAAACTGATGATGCACAAAATTGGTTTTGCACACCACCTGTCAAGTATAGATAATAAATGCAATGAAATCAACGAAAGAATTAAAGAAGACACAATTTATAGTGGTTCGGTCAATTCGACCTACGTCCACTCTTCAATGGCTTCAGTCGCCGGGTATTTTATTGATTCAAGGGTATGGAGAATGGAGATACAAGCTTTGAGAGAGAGAATGGAGAATCAAAGAAAATGGTAATCTCCGGTAGTCGGTTCGTCTTCTGTATGACTCTGGTGGGATGTCCCTCTCCTCTCCCAGATTAGAGTCATTTTATAGTAGCTAAGAGATCATTCTTGTGGAGATCATGACATATCCTCAAGGTTTCTTTATCGCAGCTTAGAGATTATCTTTGGTGGAGATCGCGACTTATCCTCCACGGAAGGAAGAGGTTGGGGAGCTCTTCATGAAACGTGGTCAATGATTGGACCGTTTTCTTCCTTCGGTGGTGCAGATAAACTTCCCGTGCTCTCCTCTTGGTGACGTGCTAAGCAAGAAGTCTAGCCGGCCTTGGGCTCCTTAAGGAGGTGCAGATAAACTTCCCGTGCTCTCCTCTTGTTGACGTGCTAAGCAAGAAGTCTAACCGGTCTTGGGCTCCTTAAGGCGGTGCAGATAAACTTCCCGTGCTCTCCTCTTGGTGACGTGCTAAGCAAGAAGTCTAACCGGCCTTGGGCTGTTTCCTTTGGCGGTGTAGATAAACTTCCCGTGCTCTCCTCTTGGTGACGTGCTAAGCAAGAAGTCTAACCGGCCTTGGACCGTCTTGGTCTTGGTGGTCTCTTGGTGACGTGCTAAGCAAGAGGTCTAACCGGTCTTGGACTGTCTTGGGCTTGGTAGAATCACAATGAGGTTGGGCTCCTCAAATGGGGTTGGACTTTAACACATAAATTGGACTATTTGGGCTTAACCCATCAGCATTGATGGAGGCGGTATAAGAGGCATCATTCCTGGCACTGTCCTTGCTTACCTTGAGTCCCAACTTCAGGTTAGTCTTATTTTTTGCTGATATAATTGTGTGTGTGTGTGTGTGTGAGAGAGAGAGAGAGAGCTCTGCATTCATGATTTATGAAAGTCGTGTGTGTGTGTGTGTGTGTGTGTGGAGTACTTTAATTATGAATCGAGTTTTGAAATCTCAATGCACCTTAAAGTTTTGCAGCTCCATGGAGTTTCCTCATAAATATCAAAAAAATGTAGTGTGGAAAGATTATCTAACTCTAAATATTGCAATTTTGACGTGATCAGGAGTTGGATGATAAGGATGCCATGTTAACAGCTCCAGATGAAAACAATCGTCCTTTATTTGCCGCTAAAGACATTAAGCCTTTTTATCTTGAACATAGCCCTAAGATTTTCCCACAGAAAAGGTAAACAGGAAATGTTTTTCTTGCTTTCAGTTTTTATAAAACCTATGGTTTTTGTTGCATGAAAACTTGGAATTAATTGTAATTTTATTTATTGTTTGTCTTGCCAACCCTCTGTTGGATATACTTTTTAATGCATTTTATCTCTGAATTTTTTTCCTTGTTTACAAATGACAATAATAAATAAAAGTCCTGAAGTTATAGTATGTGGCTGAAGGTTATTAATGGCACGTATTTGGTTACCATTTCTTTAACTTATATTAGGTTATGTGCGTAATTACCATATCATCAAATCAATAAATCAGTCAATTTTTTAAGTGCAATTAACAATACATCACTCATAAAAACAGTAGGATTAGTTACCGAGTTTGTTTGGCAATATTCAAACCTAATATTTTAACTTGTCATCAACTACCATTCATGGTATTCAATAAGATTTATAATACAACGAAGATACCATGTTTTCATGTTAACCTGTTTATTAAGTAGTTATAATGAGTCTAATTATTTATCATCAAAAATTCACTTCTACATCAAAACCTATTTAATTTGTATCGATTTCGTGTGTGTGTGATGATGTTTAGAATTAACAGCGGAGTTTGGTAACCTAACATTACAAGGCAGAGATTCTTACACTTGAAAGCCGCCAGCACTTTCCAAAATTAAAAAAAAAAAAAAAAAAAAACAGCCACCAGTACTTTCCTTCCAAATGTACCCAAAAAAAAATAATGAAAGCCGCCAGGAGCCCTCTTTGACGGCCTAATGAACTCGTTGTCGTAACACTTTTGAGCAAGTTTCCTGCAAGCAAGAGTCTTGCTTTTTTCTAAACTTGGCGTTGAAAGTTATGCAGTCCAAGAAAGAGATTGAAGTGTTGACCATTTTAACGCCAATTTCACATTTGGATGTTTCCACCCCGCAACGACGTCTCTGACCCAACGCTCCACGAACTGTGCAGAATTCAAACTTTACTAGCAGATCAACACAAGATATTACATCAAAGTTTCTCTCAGTTTGAGGCCTATAAATGGACCATTCTGCATCTAAATCAGCACCCTACAACTTTCTCTCTCTTCTTGCTTTCCTCATCCACTACTCCCTCCACAGTGCACTCTCATTTTTGGTAGATTTTTTCTTTCCCAGTTTCCTATTCTATAGGTAATTGGATCTTTCATTCACATTTCTTTTCACCAATAAAAGTTTTTAGAGGCAATTCACAAGATTCAACAAGTAATTGATAACTCGAGATGGAGAGAAGAAAATCCTCCCTTCTTCAAATTCAGGCACCAACTTATGGAAACCTAATCACCATCCTCAGCATAGATGGAGGTGGAATCAGGGGGATTATTCCTGCCACTATTCTTGCCTACCTCGAGGCTCAACTCCAGGTGAAAATATAATTTCCTTTCGGTCTTTTTTAGTAGGTTAATTGATTTTATTCTAGAAAAATGAGGATATTACAGTAAAATTCAAAACATGTCTATCTCACTAGACCTATAGAGCGATATCAACGAATTGCTCGATCTCAACTTGTCTATGAAACGAAAGAAGCTCTCATAACACAACAGAATAGGTATATACATGCAATTAACTCATGACAAACCAAATTATACACATGGGTTCACAAATCCCAACTGATTTCCTTTCGGTCAGTAGTATGTGTTTTAATAGGGAGAAATTTTTTTTGGCATAGGAGCTGGATGGGGAGGAGGCAAGACTTGCAGATTACTTCGACGTGATTGCCGGAACAAGCACCGGTGGTCTTGTGACAGCCATGTTAACTGCACCCGATGAAAACAACCGTCCTCTCTATGCAGCCAAAGACATCAAACCTTTTTACCTAGAGCACGGTCCCAAGATTTTCCCACAGAAAAGGTATGAATATCTTAAGCTAATGATTCATTTTCTTTAGCTCTTGATCATGTAATTAAGTAGTAACCATATCTTTGTGGTTTGAATGTCAGTGGCTTGTTTAAATCCATTGGAAAAACGTTAAAAACATTAAGAGGACCCAAATATGATGGGAAGTATCTTCATGGGCTTGTAAGGGAGAAGCTGGGAGATATCCGATTAAGTCGTACACTCGCCAATGTTGTCATTCCAACTTTTGATATCAAAGACTTGCAGCCAACCATTTTCTCCACTTATCAGGTCTCTCTCTCTCTCTCTCTCTCACACACACACACACACACACAATATTTTCCTGTGGTTGTTATGCAGGTAGACTATTATCACCCAGAATTATTTGTCTATTGTCTTACTGACTGTTTGTAGTTGTATATTTGAGAACTTGAAAAGCCTTCTGGTTTTTGGTAACTAATTATGACTTTCACATGTACTGCGGAGTCATGTGGTGGACCCAGGGAAATTGAAATTTGACACGTTTGAACTTTGAAGGTCTTCAGTCAAAGTACACCGAGTGCCAACATTTAATAATACACTACTGTTATTGGGAAATCAATTAGTGATAACTCATTATGTCCTAATAACATTGCTTTTAATAATAAACATACAAATAGATAAAATATATCTCACTTGATTGATTATTAAATGACATAACAGAATGATTACTAAATTAGATGAGATCCACCTACTTATTTATTGGTTTATTACTGGATTTTGACATTAGATGTCAACAATGACGTGTTGTCACCATTACACCCAATATTTACTCTAATATTTTTTCTGAGCAATATTACATAGATTTAAAAAGTAAATTTAAATATTATACTTTATAATTACGACCGTTGATTTTACTGTATGTTCCAACATTTATTAGAATTCATTACCTATTCAATAATTGAGATTATCAAGTATAACTTTTAAGTTTATCTAACATTACTCATTTTTTTCGACCACAACAATGTCAGTAGGACCAATCAATGGGTGGGCATCGGGGATTGGCTGGCAGCCGGGGCCCCTTAATAACCCTTAGTTGGAGATTGTATTCTCTAACCTTAGGGCATCAGTTATAATTTCAGAAATTAGTGTTAGACTTATTTTTGCATATTTAAGTAGGGCAATCTATAATACATGGTAAAGTAATAGGGGTTAAAGAATTATGTCTGATCCATGCAGGTAAAAGGCTCTTCATGTTTGGATGCTCAATTATCCGATATTTGCATAAGTACTTCTGCAGCTCCAACCTACCTTCCAGCCCATTACTTCAAGACCCAAGATAACAAAGGGAATGTTCGAGAATATAATCTTATTGATGGGGGTGTTGCTGCAAATAATCCGGTAAGAATTAAATTATGTATAAGATATTATTCCACTTACAATTACATATTTATCTTTAACACTGGGACCTACAGTTTGACAAATTGTAGAAGATGCCTTTTTCTCCCTTAATGAATCCACAAAATGTAGATGACACCCTTAAAATTAGCGACCACAAATCAAAAATCAAATATCAAGAGTGAAAATGAATGTGTGTATGTATTCAGAATCTCCTTTCACTCGTGCATCCATTTATGGATGGAAATATGTTGTGGTCTAAGGAGCATGACTTCTCCTCGACTTGTTAAAAGCACCACGTTTTAATGAGCATTGCTAGACTTATCAAATTGTTTACTTAAATTTTGTATACCAAACCAGTACGAGTGATTGGAGTTGTCGGTCTCACTTACTCCCACTACACATTCAATATTGTAGAGGTTTCGTCACATTATTTGGTATACAATATTTGATAACTTCATTTAGAATGTATATACTAACTCGTTCAATCAAGTCATGACCTCAAATTATGCATGCTAGTACTAACTCGTTCCATCCCTATATGTCTATGTAAGAATTGCACATGGATTCGACGTGACAAATCTAATATTAGTAATAAACTGCAAAAAAAAAAAAAAAGAATCTGAATTTAATATCGTTGTTTATTTCTTGATGAAATGCTTTCAGACTTTGGTTGCCATTAGCGAAGTGACAAAACAGGTCATTGAGAACAATCCAGACTTCTTTCCCATCAAGCCCATGGACTATGCTCGATATCTAGTAATTTCAATTGGCACAGGGGCAGCAAAGATTGAACAGAAATACAATGGTAAAATGGCTGCCAAATGGGGAGTTCTAGGCTGGTTAATTCATGGAGGTTCGACTCCATTGGTGGATGTGTTTACTCAATCAAGTGGAGATATGGTTGATTTTCACAATTCTGTGGTTTTCCAAGCACTTCATTCAGAAGAAAATTACCTTCGAATTCAAGTAAGCTTACATACAATCTCATTGAATTTAATTCTAATTTTACAAATTAAATATATTTTTCGTCTCTAAAGTATATACAAAATGTACTTTAATTCTCTAATCACTGATTATGCCACTTTGATGGTTGAATGATGAAATTTGTGTCTAAATGATTTAAACGCTAACTACCTTCTCAACTCGTCGCGATGCAAATATAGTTTTGAAATCCCACCAAAAGTAAACGGGTTATCTTCCATCCATGTATTGTTTGATTAGGTGGTTAACAGTTTGATATAACACATACTAATATATTGCTTGCAAAACCAGGAAGACACATTGACTGGTACAGAAGCTTCAGTTGATGTTGCGACGAAGGCCAACTTGGAAAAACTGGTAAAAATAGGTGAAAATCTACTGAAGAAACCAGTTTCAAGGGTAAATTTGGAGACGGGACTCCACAAACCAGTTGAAAACGCAGGCACAAATGAGGATGCTCTCAAGAGGTAAAAAAAAATAGACATTATTTGAAAACGTTTTCTTGAAGTATTTTTTCGTAAATAAAACACATATTTTTATCACATATTTTTTTTTCTTGAAAGCAAAAGCCAAAAAAGACATGTATGATAACTATTTATGGATAATATATTTTAATCTACAAGTAATATATACATATAATTAAGCTTAAAGAAGAGAGTAAATCCAGATACAAGCAATTCTTTTTTGCGCTTAGAGATATATAATTTTTTTGCTTCTCGCTTTTCAATGGTACTTTTTCACCAAAACAAATACATGTTCTTATTTAAAAAGTAAGAAATAAAGTAAGCTCGAGAGTTATTTGTATTTTCTTATTATCCACAAAAGTTTAAAATATTATGTTTTTACCTCTCACAGGTTTGCCAGACTACTTTGCAATGAAAGGAGACTTCGAGAGTTAAGATCGCCACTGACCAGCAAGGCACTGACCAACAAGGCTCAAGCGTCAAGCCTCAATGTTGTGCATCACATTGTTATCCCTTGACCATATGCCCGTTTACTTCTCATATTTGTCGTCAAATTTAACTATTTTTTATTCTTTGCACAAATTTGTAAAACATGCTATGCGATCGAAAGATAGACGTTCTTTAATTAGAAAATATTTATAGATTTTCATTTCTCTTTGAACGGTGAGAATTTTCCCACATCAACAAACTTTAACGTGTGATATCTCGACTCAAAGCCTTGGTGACACTAGTGCAACCATTGTCTACTTAAGGGAGGGCTCATGGGGACCTTTGACCCCCCAGAAAAAGCATAATAGTTTCATTGATCTCTCTCTGTCTCTCTCTCATATACAAACACACGCCCACACTTCCGAACCTTTTCATTTGCATATCATTTGATTCAATGAATTTGTGTGATTCACCAAAAAACAAAAGACAGTCTTGAAAGGCTTGTAAGAGTTTCTTGTCTTGAAAGACAAGAAGTAAATGACCCTATAACATACCATGCATGAGTTTGAATTTCTAGGTTTGGTTTTATACTTAATATTACCCTGATTGTATAAGAATTTTATTGAGAAACTGATTATTTCGAAAATAATTATTAAGCTATGAAAAAATTTGATTTGTTGAGAAGTTGAGCTTGGGTCATCTCAGATTCAACTTGAATATTCGCAAACTCATGCGCACTCCAGCAATAAACTCGAGTTACTCAAGAGTCCTAGAATTTGGCAGGAGTTTCAAAACTTCCCTTTGGTACTTGAAAAAAACATCACGCATGTGTAATTAAAAAAAGTGAACATATAAAACTGGCGTATCAAACTGGTGTTCCCTTAATGAATAGAAAAAAAAGGATAAACGTACATTAAGTTGCATGTGTTTTATTAGTAAATAATGATAGATTCACAGAAGAAACTGTCAGATGATGTTGTGTTGATAGTGTGAAAGAGAGAGACTTTGGTTCTTTTTGGTTTTTTATGACTATCACAGTAATATCATTTGGTTCTTTTTTTTTTTTTTTATGAGTCCAACAATATCCTTTTCTAATTAAATTGGGATAATGCTATATGACTAGGAAAACATACTAAATTTTGTGACGTTGATGCGGTGAGCAAAACTAGAATTAAAATGAGTAAAAATAAAAGTAAGGGCACTACTATGTTGGTATAGTACCACATTATTTGGTCTTTTTAATCATTCTAGTTAGGACGGTCAAAGTTTGACACGACACAATTATATGAATTAAGTGGATTTAAATGAAATTTTAACGGGTTTGGGTGATAAACGAGTTAACCAGTCTAACACGTTTAATAAATGGGTCATGTTCGGGTGAGTCATATCAACCCGTTTACCTGTTTAAATAAAATTAATATAATAATAAATTAATAATTATTTTTAAAAATTAAGCAGATTTTTTTTAATGACAACCACAGAATATATATTATTTTTAGTGATGGCCACATTTTTTTTTAATTTAGTGATAGTCACAAAAAATATAATAATAAATTAAAACTAAACAGATTAAATGAGTCGTATCGTATTACCCATTTATTAAATGATTCGTGTTCGTGTTGAGGGTTTTCACCCTTTTATGAAACGAATCGTGTATGAGTTTACATATTTTTCATCTGTCACCCGGTTAACCTAACACGTAACTATTTAACTTAACACGTTTGACACCCCTAATTTTAGCATTATCCTTTACATTGGTAAAGAAGAAATAAGGCCTTCTTATCCATCTTCCTTGATTGCTTAAGCACTGCCTTTTGAGCATCATTAAGCGCTTGCTCTTCCTCCATAGTCGGCTCGATGTAACCTTTTTCAACAATGTCCCAAAGATCTTGAGATTGTAACACCACCTTGATTTGAATACTCCAATTCTCATAGTTATCTTTTCCCAATTTGAAAATTGGGGTTGAAGCACATTACTCATAGTAGCCATAACAATCTGCTCTGATACCACTTTTGTTGGGAATTAGAAGAAAAAAAACTACTAAAGAGCACAAAAATAGAAGATGAAAACTGCTCCACTTCCACACTAATTTCACTCAAGAAACATCTCTATATTTCATCAAATATGATCACAATATCAAGGAATACATGAGGAGCAACTTATCAGAATTTTTCAGCAGTAAACACTCAAGAAAATTCAAAGAAATAGAGCTTCTGCTCATGAACAAGCTGCTGTTTTTTTCAGGCAGCAAACACACTGTTTTTCTCACTTTTTCCTCTATTTTTCTGCACAGAGACTCTCTATTTTGGACAGTAACTCCGGCCCCTTTTATACTGATTTTTCCTAGCCAAAACACTCTAAATTTGGCCACTTTATGGCTGGCTACCCCAAGAAAAAACTGTTCAACTTCCATGCAACCATACATGAATAAGTCTCCCAAATACATGAATAGACTTCTCAAAAATATTCTGGACACTTCTGGTATATATCACTTCAAATACCATGACTTTTCAATACCCAAAAATACAAAAAAATACCCCTTAAAAAAAAATAGAGTTTATAAAACTAAAATTCCCCTTAAACTCAATTCCTTGAGTTCTCATGCCTAGCATCATTTCAATTTCTGAACACATCATGCTTCACTGGCTTTGTAAAAATGTCGGCAACTTGATCTTGAGTATTGCAATGTATCAAGTTCACTTCTTCATTTTTCACATGCTCTCTAATAAAATGGTAACGTGTATCAATGTGTTATTCCGTTTATGAAA